GCCGGTAGCGCCGCTGCTCTCTGCGGGCTTCGTAACTTTCCTGTTCGCTCTTTTAGTCTCTCCGGAGAGCGATGTCGGTACGGCACGCTGCCTCCGCTGTTCCCGAGTCAGCCTTCTCCCCGTCTTATTCTGTCGGTCAGGCTTCTGCCTCTCTCTGCTGCTGTCCTCCCCGGGGCGGCCTCCTCAGCCCCTTAAACGCTGGCTGAAGAGACTGTTTCACCTCCGAAATTATCCTCTCTTTGCTGGCTCATATGCTTGTCCTATTACTTTCTGAGAACTCACGGGATGCTGGTTACGGAAGACTCCTTTTGAATCGCAACAATTAAAAAACTTTTGGCCTGTTAAGCCCTTGTCAGTCAATGTCACAAAATCTTCCATTTGCAGTGTTGTTGCTGTGTTCACAGGTAGGGCAAACTGCCCTTACTATGCCAAAGCTGAGCTCCTGGCTGACTATCTCCAGGCTAACTTGCCAGACTTCAGGGTTCACAAGATCACTCAGCACCCTGACAAATGGGAGGTAAGGGATTGTAAGTCAAGTCGTTGGTCAAGTCGTTTGTAGAGCCCCAGTGCTCTACAAAACAAGGAATATGCTTATCTGTAGTATGTCTCTTCTTGTCCTGTACTAGCATTTTGATGTGTGGGTAGAGGTGCTACAGAAGCAGCTTTGGCTATGAGAGCCAGCCAGAGGAAAGGTTTGAATGTTGTGAGAGACTGGCATTCTCATGAGTCTTACAACAGAAGATGGGCACAAAACGAGGGCCAGCCTAAAGCTGTGTTTTGTCAGTAAGAAATTCAAGTTTATTGGTTTTTTATTATGTATAAATGGCTGCTCAGCCTGTAAATCTTTGTAAACTGTGATTGCATGTGCCTTCACAGTTGTTACTTGTCAAGAACATTTCTGGCATTCAAGGGCTTTGAATTACAATGGAAGTATGAAATTAAATCTCACGTATTGGTTTGCAATGTGGATGGGCCTTTCTGAGTACTTTTGTTGTAGACATGTTGCCATGTCTACACTGTAGTTCCTATAAGGAACTGAAAAAATGCAGTATTCATGAGATAGGCAGTACTATGATGTTTATTATCTCTTATCTTTTCCTTGACACCTCAGCCAAGTAATTCCGTTAAGTGAATAGCAATTAACCTCTGCAGCTTACTTACCTTCTGCAGCTAAATAGGAATCCTCAGATTACTCGCTGCTTCACAACTTTGCTATCTTTAGTACTGCTAAGATAATTGAGCAAAATTACAGCAGTAAAATCAAGCAGAAGTAAGACCTGTTGCTCTTTTGCTGAGGTATCACAGCATATCAGCATGCCTTGCTTTGTGTTACTCCCCCATTTTGCACACACTGGTACGTAAGTTGTGAAGCACCTTGTAATTATGTACTGAGAGGAAATAATAAGAATGTTTATAGCTGTAACATTTAAGTGTTATCAAATGTGAAAAAGTATTAAAACCTTTTGGCGGGGATGTTTACATTAGCAGTGGCTTCATGACATTTGTGAAATGAATGGATGGGAACACAGACAGTCTCCTATCATTTGGAGAGAGCTGTTGGACCGTGGAGGGAAGGGTCTGCTTCTGGGAGGAGTTAATGATTTTCTGGAATATGCTCAGGTAATGAGCTGCCTTTAATACTGTAAACCCATGTTTTACATTTTCTTGTAACGTTGTTGTTCTTTATTCCTCCCACAAATGTAAAATAAAGGTATCCTTTCTAATGTTACCTTGCTGTGTTTGGGCTGTCATTTGATTAGAGATGACCCTTTTTGTTCTTAGCACTATTATGGCATCACCTCAATGATGTTGAGTGAGGAAATGTTAGACATTGCTGAGGAGAACCTGCAGGCGCATATTGAAGTTGAAAAAGAGGAGGAAGAGATTAAAAGTCTTATCAAGCCTTTGCAGATCTGGATCACCAGGTGAGAGTAAAAAGAATATCTATGAAGTTTCACTCAGTTTCAGAAGAATCCATTTTTTCCTATCACATATAACAGGTGTAACCATCTGAAATTACACACGAATCCCTGTAATTTGCTGATTTGAATTAGGTTCTGCGCCCCTCACTATGAGCATTCAGTATATAATTCAGAAATTATTTCTACTTTCGTTACATCTTGCACCAGTTTAAGTGAGGGATGTGAACAGGCAATATTTAGACCCCAGACCACCTTAGGGAAAAGCAAGTATTTACAAAATAAGCCAGGAATTTTGTAGTGCAACTATCTTGCATTAGATGTTTTTGGAAATATTTAAATAAGTAAAAACTCTCTTGCAGTTCTAGCTTTAGAAATTTCTGTATTTCTGGTAGTCCTAACAGAGCACCTTAAAAATATTGTGGTTCTTTAAAGACACCAATTTTTAAGTGACAATATCTCCTGAAATGTATAGGATGGAAAAACCTTCAAATGAAAGGAGGACCCAAATGTTTTAATTTTTAACCTGTTAGAATAACAGAAGGAGCAATAAAGGATCCAAACTAATGGTCTATTTAAACATAATCGAATACAAAAGAAAGATCTTTGTGTTTGTTTGTGTAATACTTCCAAACAAGCAGTGGTTAATTGTTAACTATAACTTTTCTATATCCTTCTCTTATCAGTGCCTCAGCTTCGATCTGTTATCAGCTGATCCCTCTGTTGGCCAATGGAGAAGTGTTTGGGATGACCACAGAAATCAGTATCCATTTGCTTGACACTGACCAGTTTAAGGATGTTCTTTGCGGTATTGTAATGGAAGCTGAAGACATGGCGTTCCCACTCCTCCGCAGTATTTCAGAGCACACTGAAATAGATGAGGCTTTTATTCAAGCCGATATTATCATTGTTCTTGATGATGTCCTCTTAAACCGTGAAGCCCAATCCCTTGAGAACTACATCAGAGAAGTGAGTGAGATCTGTCAAGTGTATGCTCCCCTGATTGAGAAGAATGCCAAGAGCGGGGTCAGAATAATTTCATCAGGAAAAACCTTTGTAAACCTTAAGGCGATGATGATTATGACATATGGCCAGTCCATTAAGCCTGAAAATGTCATTGCCGTTGCTACATCCTGGGAAAGTACAGCTAAAGCCATGCTAGCCAGGAAGCTGAATATGAATGCAGCAGGTGAATATTTATGTGTTCTGGTAGCATTTGGGGAATTCAGTGGATGGACACCTTCGAGAGTACATACTTCATTGCAGAACAGTGTTGATGTGCGTGCAGAAGTGCAAGCACATGGTGCACCCACTGAATTACATGGCTGTACAGAATGCCAGGGTGTGACTAGCAGGTGCTACAGTTCTCTGTGCTTACCGCTATCTGGATCTGTGCCTGATCCCATGAATGTCAATTCTTTTGCTAACTCTTGGATGCAGCCCTGCCATTCTGGCATGTATTTCGTGCTGGAAATATACTAAGAAGGACTGAGCTGTGTTGCAGATCAGGAACTAGGACTTCAAGATTGCATTTGCACTCTGCAGCACATTGTTATTTTGGAGACACACAAACTAGCTGTGAATAAACATGACACATACTGCTGTGCAGATTATGAGAGTATAGTGGAACTGCGTTAGTATCATTTCTGGGCTAAGCAGCTTTCTTTCTCAGGTCAATTGTTATAGCTTGGCTATATTTGCATGGTTCTGCACTGCATAGCAAAGGTGTGCTCCAACAGCCTGTTCAGCATCAGGATTCTTTCAATGTTGCAGGGGTAGGAACTGCTCATCAACGACAAGCCTAGATATTTTGGAGCCTAATAAAATAGAAAAGTAAGTAAATAGGCTGCATAACCTATCAGCAGGTTATTTGAGAAATTCCTTTTGCACCGAAGCAGGTAGATTTTTTTTTTTTTTAAAATGATTTTTTTCTGTTAGGCATTCTGTATTTGCGTGTACAGGATTTTAAAAGGAACATTGCTGTATGTTTGCAATATGATTTGTTTTGGTTTTTAACAGCTATGTATTTTACTATGTTTTGTCTATTATGTACAATAACATGATATAAATTAAAGTTCCTTTTTCAGCTTGTGATGAGGTTTCATAAGTTATGGAGAGCCTTGTTGCATTTTTCAGATCAAATCATTTCTGCTATCAAGGCAGGACACTGAATTGAAGAATAATTCATCTTGAAAGGGACTTCGGAAGGTCATCTAGTCCAGCCTACATTGTGAAAGTATTTGTCTATCTCTTCATTAATCTACTTTCCTCTGTTATAGGAGTTAAAGACGTGATTGTTTGGGGCAATATTACTGGCTGTAATTACATCGATTTGTCACATGCAAAACTTTATGGATATGACTGTGCTATTTGGGGCCCAGCTAATTTTCCACGTCCTTCGTTGAATATGATTTATGATAGGTACAGTACAGATTTTTTTTTTCTTAAAGTAAAACTAAATAGCTGCTTTTAATCCACGTTTATCTGAACTGTGTAATAAACATCAAGAAAGGGTTTTGTTTTCAAGATTTGTCTTTACTGACTAACACTGTACATAAAGGAAAACTCAAGTTGAAGTACTCAGTCTGCAAAAGAAGTTGAGTAGTTCCTGATGCTATACATAGTTCTGACTCTCCTGCCAACTTTGTTTATAACTATATTTTCCTACATATTAAGTGTGTTTCTTTTCTATCATACCACGAGCAGCCAATAAGAAGTAATGAAGGTCCAGATAGTGACTTAGATGTCTAGTATGCATGAAGAAGCTTTGAAATAATACTCAACACATATCTGGATCTTTAAGTACCTGAATTCCATCGAACATATGGCCTGATTGCACTAATGTTGTCAGTTTCCCAAACCAGACCATTTATTTGTTAACATATGTAAAAAGGTTACCTGGTAGCTGGGTAGCTTCTTGTGGAAAGAGAAGTAGCAGAGAAAGGATGGGTGGAGTGAGAGGGCAGCAGATGTGACATGCACTCAGGCCTGGCTATATGGAGCTCCCACTCTGGTCTAAACCTAGCGTTTACTGGACAGCAGACATTTCTTTTGTTCTGTACTTGTACTGTGCCTGGCACAGGGGGATTATGGTTCATGGCTGGGTTCTCACATAAGACGGTAATAGATATAAATAATAATAATAGATGTTATGACTTGAGTAAATGACCTAACTTTCGTAGATAAGTAGTGCTTGTTGTTACCTTTTGAGCCACTTTCTGTTAGACCCTGTTTTTTCTGTCTTTAAGTGCTTTGCCTTTAAGCAGTAAAGTTTGAGTAAGTTTCAACTATTTTCTTCCCTCAGGTTTAGTTCTTTTTTTCTCTAAAAAACTACTCTTCCTGCAGTCATCTTAGTTTTTTCTTCCTTCTTTTTTTTTTTTTCTCCTTTTTTTTGTTGGTAGTGAATGGATCCATTCAGAATTTCTATCTGCACAGAGTTCACTGAGTTCCCGGGTCTGTCATAGTGTGGGAATGTTATCTGCTCATGCAGTGGCCACTGTACTGAGATACTGGTATCATGGCTCTCCTCCTGGGGAGATCGTTTCCGTGGGAATACTTACTGAAGGTAAATCTACTTTTGCTTCACATATTCTATTGTAGCTTTCCCCAGTATGAATAATGTTATTTTTTAATCAAGATTCTTAACTTAATAAAAACTTGTAAAACAAATCATGATATAATGGGAGGCTGAGAGTTTGTTTCAGCATAAGAACCTCCAGATCTAAGCAATTCTGCTCTCCAGAGTTTGTGATTTGATACTCACTTCTTACAAGTAATTCTTAGGTTAATATTGTCTTGTTGCAGATTGTCTCTTAGTCTTTTAGTTTAAATGCGTTTCTGGTGTATGTGTTTTGCGCAAGGACTCTTTATAGTTCTTGGAGCCTAAGCTATAAAAGCATGTTCTTTTTGTGTAGTTATGTGGACCAATAAATGGAATGTTTCACAACAGCCATTTAGCCCTTGTATGAAATAAAAAAAATATTTTTTCCCCTTTTTTAAGATGTAAAATTGTTACATGTACATCTAACTAAAATACAAAGTTACAGTAAAAGGGGAACTCTTTAGTCTTTGAATTGTACACTGAAAAAGGCATCTCCATTTATACTAAGATCTTACAGTTGCAGACTTTTGCAAGTCTGCAGGACTTAATCTTGACACTGGTGAGGATGTGTTTTTTAATGAGAAATAATATGTTTGGGTCCTTTTCTCCCTCTTCTTCAGGTCAATTTTGCATTCCTGAAGGGATTGTCTTCTCTATGCCAGTGAGGTTCCAGAATGGAAATTGGGAAGTCATGACAGAATTAGAAATCAATGAAATGACCCAAGAAGTTCTGGGACGCTTAGCCCATGAGCTGATTCAGGTGATGATTTCTTGTATCTAATAGTATGCCCATTCTGCCACCTATGGGTACACTGCGATGTAACTTTGAATGCTGAGACCTTTACTCCAAATGTTAGACATACAAACTCCACGCATGCACTTATGCATGATAAATGCCAGGTATTTATAAGTGTAAGGTAGCATTTATATGTTGAAATGAACAGATGACTGTTATGTTGCCCAAAAAAGGGATGATAAAATAAGTTTACAATGTAAGTGTAGAATTTGCACCCCCAAGTTCTCAGGCTTTGTGCAAAACAGAAATATTAGCTTTAATTTAATGTTTCTACATTCTATGCTGATGATGTTGATTTTGCTTGTGTGATATTCAGAGTATATCTTTTGGGATCCTCATGGCTGTGACTCTGCATGAATGAAGGCCAGATTTTACTAGAATTAGGGATTTTTCAGAAAATACAAAATCGTAGTTGCATCATGAACTTCTTGTCACTTAGTGAGACAAAAAGAATTTAATTTGACTAAATATTAAAATACTAAAAAGACTGGTCCCAAACTCCACATTCTAGCATCAATCAGATTTTGTCATCTTCAGTCATACTAGTAACACGTAAGAATTATTTTAATTTGACATATTTTAAGCTTATGTTAGAAATTACAGTGGATGAAAAGAATGGGTGATACTAAAACTTTTTTTTTTTTTCCATTCAGGAAAAGCTCATTGCACTAAATGAAATAGAAGAAATGCATCCATATGGAGCTGATAAAATCACTAGTAAAAAATGTTTGCATCAAGGTGGGTTTTTCTCCCCATAAAAGATGGTATCAAGTTTTAAGTGAGAATTTAAGCAATGGATTCTTATTTTATGTCCCTTTAATTTAAAATGGATATAAAATCCTTCAGGAGGGAACATAAATAACAAGTACTTGTCTGATGTATCCTGACCGTGCCTGGGGCGTGGTGATAGGAAGGGCAAGCCTGCATGGTAGCAACCTTGTTTTGATAAGTTTCTATTGTGTCATTCACAGATCATGAATATAAAAGCGTAGCATAAATAATGCATTTAGCATGACACATTTTATCTTAGATTATTAGTAAATATAAAGTCTTTTTAACCCAAGTAACTATTACTAGAAAAGCACTTTCACCATATATCCTACTATATGTTTTTGAAGCTATTCTTTACTATATTTTACTATTCTTTACTATCTAGAAATAATGAGTTTAATTTCTAACAGAGAAAAAATACTGTAAATTGGAACTCAAACTTCTCATTTTTCTGTTTGTTACAGTACCAAACAGTTAATTCAGTATCTTTAGTCTATAAGCCAGTCAGAAGAAGAAAAGGTTGAGACACCCAAAGACAGTAGGCTAAAAAAAGACATATTCCTACTTAACGTAGAGAAGGCAATCTCGGTAAGTGGCAGCCACATCTGCCACTTCTTCCAATTACAATAGATGAAAGATCTTTTAGAGATCCCTACATTATAAATTATTAAGCCATTTTGCTTTGTTTGTTAATGACACACCAAGTTTATCATGACTTAGTTTTTTTAAATGCACAACAGTATGAGAAATTTCAACTAAAAATCTATAGAATAACTCCAATATCCCTTCCTAATATTTAGGAGCATGTGGAAAGGCAATAGGCTACATGATACTGCTATGGCAAAAATCCCCTGAATCCACAACCTACTTTTCCCCTGCAGAATAAAAAAAACACATCTTCTCCCAAGTCTTTCTGTGCTGCTTTTCCTACCTATTTTGCTTTTCAAGTTCTCTGTCCTCTTAAGATTATATAAAGGAAAGAAGAATCATTCATCAAAATAAGAACAGATGAACTTTAAAGTGTGTTTTATTGTTGTTTTCTCACTTTTCCCCTATTCTCAGGTTCCCAAATCCCTGCACTTTCCCAATATTCTAGCCATTTCTTTCTACTTTTATGTCCTACGGGCATTTTCCCTAGTTAGTTTTCTTTCTTCCTTCCTTCAAATTCTTTCCAGTACTTTTATATCAGCACTTACCATACTATGAGCTGTTCTTCTGCATTAAGGGCGGGCTGAAGAATGGGGAAACTATTTGGAGCTTGATGCCCCGGGCCTTTAGTAAGCACATAAGCCTTTCGGTTATCCATGCTTGTTTCTCAGGAAAGGACTACAGACACAATAAGATTTTCTTGATAAATGCAGAGTTTCATTATTCCACTAATCATGACCTTGATTAACCCAGACAGGAGATTCCCAATTAGACAGGAGTGTCCTTCCCTGTCTGCTCTCTACTTGCATGCCACTGCTTTTCTGTAGAGCTGTGGCTCTTTAAACACTAAGCAGAGGGCCTTTCCGCTGCTAGCAGCTAACTGCTTAGTTGTGGCCTACTCTTGTGACATTAGTATCAAGTGCCATACTATTCAAGGATTACTTAAGTGCCCTGCTTATCTCCTTGCATGTGTAAATATTTTAGGAGGTTGGCAAAAATTTGTACTGTTTTTGCTTTTTTTACAGGGATGGAAACCTTGCCCACTGGCTCGCTTTAGCCAGAGTTGTCTGGAGGAGAAAATGCTGAAAATTCCCATACTAAAAGAATGTTTCCATTGCTCAAAAAAGGAAACTACAAAGAAAGGCTAAATATTGTCATAGCTTTTACAGTATCTTCCTCATCAAAAACCTGGAAATCTGTAGGCAGAAAAATATTTCAAAAACAGTGTGAATATAACATTCTTAATCTGGAGACCAAAGCAAAATTCCTACTGACTTTAATGAGTCTAAGATTTCATTTACATCCAACAACTTATTTCTTCAAACCAATAAACTGTTCCAAAAACCTCTTTTAATGTCTAAAACGTTCATATTAAGACAATTTTGAGCAAGAATGTCACACGTAAAGTAGTGGTTTTATAACTCCAAGTTCTTGTTTCAGATGTAATGAAACACAGTACTTGTGTAAGAATGTATATTCTCAGGCAAAATTGATTTTTAACACAAAAATTTAACTGCATGCATCTCCTTAGTGACAAGATCATTTTTGTCTCCATGTTTTTTATTTATTTTATGAGTTTCATAGGGACTACTCATATGTTTTAAGTCAAACATGCAATTAATTAAGTCCTTGTCTAAACAGGGTTGTTGAGGAACCACTTTCACTTGCATGTCTTTGGTGTCTTAAAAGATGGAGACTGTGTTAAATGAAATATTATTGTACTTGCTAATTTTTTATCAGATGTGTTTAAAGCAAAATAAAAAGTTTCCTTTTCTTTGAATCAGATACATACAGTTGGAATAAATTCATTATTTCTGTTCAAGTGGAGGTTCAAACTCTGAATGGGGGTAGACTTCTTACATGAGGAAACCAAGAGGAGTTTATTTGTTATTTATCAGCTGATGTGGACAGAATGAGGAGGGATGTCTCACTGGTATTAGAAAGAGAAGCTCAGAAAGCTGGGATATCACTAGGGAGTTGGAATAGTGTAGTTTCTTATGTCATATGTGTATGGGAGAAGCAACGTTTACAGGAACTGAGATATCACTGTTGCAAGTATCTTCATGGAAGAGTTCACATGGGAGTTGTAGAGGTAGGTGTTGTAAAAAGTCTTGAAGAAAGTGGTTAGGAATCATTCATTTCATAAGGAAGTGGTCTCCAGGGAATTAGTTTCTAGTAGTGTATGCACAGAAAATTGGCTGAGTCTCTGAGGAGCATCTGGAGGCAGATGTCTCAAGAGAGCATAGGAGGGAAGGATGCTACCAGTAGTCTTTACAAACTGCCTCGTTTGTTCCATAGCTCCTTCTCCAAGACAGGAGAGGAAAAGTTAGCTTCTCTAATGTGTATTTACATTTGTTTTTTTCTATATGGAATATGATTTGGCAGTCTTTTACTCTTTGAATTTTTTTATTCTAACTGTGGAGGTAGTAGTTCCAACAGACTGCAATTCAAGCACCAATGCTGTGCAGCTGTTAATGAGAAGGAAATTAACTGTTTCTGCAGGCTTACCGGACTTCTGAGTCACTACCTGAAAACTGCAGGCAAAGAATTTCTTCTTAAAGGTTGGGAGGAGAAAGACAAAACAAATGTCTTGAATGTCTCTTGTGTCCTAAATTATTCTAATTAGATTTGCCCAGTGGCCTGCAGGGAAATTCAGGTCTTTCCTCATGGAAGCATAATAGAATGGAAACTAAAGCTTCTTTTCCTAGCTTTTGCTTAGGAGAGAAAGAAACAATAAAAATTACAGGAAAGCTAAAATATGATAATATATTCAAAGTTGGTTACAGTTGTAACACAGTGATAGACTTAGTCATCACTAATTTTGGGGTTTCTGTAAGTAATAAGTAATTTCTGGTACACATTTTCTCACAAGTTATTGAGTAATGCTATGTATGCAGGATATTCATAGCATTGATGAATCCTACTACCTGGGTGTTAGAGTAACTGTGGAAAAATTTATGAAAAAAGTCTTTAAGATAAATATATGTGTCTTACAAATGTTATCTATATTCTGCATAAGCTCTAGCATCGGGGTGTACTGAAGAGTGTGTAAGCTTTCTGGTTGGTCTGAACAATTCTTATTCTAGGACGTTACCACTAGGACTTACTATTTTTCCTCTTTGTAGTTGCACTGTTTGAAACAGCACACTGTGCTTTTTGCGTTACTGTGCCACCTTCCACCCCGTTTTCAGTCTCTATAGCAACACTGTTTCTCAGCAACTGGGAGATGCTTAGTAAAGGCCCCTCAATTTAGAAATATTGCACTCCAACCATAACAAAAAATTGCTTTGAAACAAAGATCAAAAAAGTTTTATCTTTAATAATTCAGGACATTTATTACTAATTAATTAGTGTTCTCTGTTTTGACTGCTTAGAAATTACCTGATACTTTGATCTGGGCCTTTGCCAGGCATTTGTTGTGAACAGCATTCATTTAAAAGCAAAACCTTTAGAACTGTGTCTTGAAGTCAACTTTTAAGTGCTATAAAACTACTGGACTTCTCTGGCTGTGTCATCTGACTTCTGGGCCTTTAGTAAGTAGCTGAGAGAAAGGTAAGTGCCATTACTGTATTTAAGAGGAGACAATAATTTTGGCCTTTGAACACAAGAAACACCCTTCACAAGAAACAAAAGTAATTGTAGTTTATTTTATGCATATTTAAAACGTTGATCATATGTTCTCTGATTTCAAAAGAAGGAAGGCCTCTATGATCAAGTCAATTGATCTATTAGGAGATTTCTGCCTTACTTGATCTGGTTTGTCTTTCTCTGTACTTTAACTTAATTATGTAACACGTTTAAAAATGTATTTTATTTGCTAAAGTACATATTCTGAGAACCTGTATAGGCAAACAAAATATATATAAGCAATCAAACGTTACTTTTCTTGCACATTCCAATAGGATTCAAGAATAAGGCTACTCTTGTTCTGCACATAACGGTATTTGTGTTAACGGGATCGGAGTTTATAATTGTAAAAATTTATTTCCTGTACATTTGTAATTAATTTTAAAATTCTTTTTTGTTTTGTGGAAGTGTTTTTAATTATTAATATAGGGCACATGTAGCTGAAATACAACACACTGACTGAAATAGTGTATCAATGAGCAGAGTTAGTTCAGATTTGATGTTTTGGCAGGCAGATGCTGCTTCTACTTTCATATGATGTTCATTATAAAGTAGATGTGCTAACACTGAAGTAGATCCTGTTCATTTCACCCAAGCAGTCCTACTGCAGTCAAGATCTGGACTCTCCACAGAGTTTTCTATATAAAAAAGTAGACTGTACACATGTTAATAATGCCTTTCATAAGTTTTTGGAGGGAGGGTTTATGGGTATGATGTTGCACAATGACAGCCAATTCGGTAAAACACATGAACTTACTTAACTTTGGGACCATGAATACCCTAGTACAAGAGTAGTGTGCTTATCCATATGCGTAATTTAAAGGTTAGACATTGCATTGTACTGGGTAGGAGCTTGTCATCTTACAGTAAGTATCAAGTGCTAATAGATTATGCATGCTGTATAGCTCAGTGATGTCAGTGGATCTGTTCTTATTTGAGTGAGCAAATTCTAATGAGCGAGTTCTAATTTAAGTGAGTTTAACCTGTGTATTTTTACATTCATCCTCTTGCTTTATTTTATGTACCTTTGGTGGAGAGAAAAAAAGGAGGAAAACATGAGGCAAGCTGTGCGTTTGTAAGTCTATCTTTTAGGTTGCTACATGTAGCTTTCGCTAAACACTTACGTTTAATTCATTGCTTAGAATCTTCTGATTTCATTGATTT